CGCATGTCGTGCATCATCAGTATTTCCTCTTAACTCTGTTTTTGCATGGTAGTTACTTTCTTGTTCATTTCAGAAGATTTATTGATCCTTTTATTAAGTGTACTGCATTCTGAGGTCTCCATTCAATACTCTACAGTGCCACACAGATAACAGAAATTTTTGTTTTCGGCAATCCTTGACATGAAGTATCAGGATGGCAGTTACTGCGACTGCGCAGTAAAGCTTTTATCTTCCATACCTCGGGGACCTGGTTCGAATGTCTTGCAGGTAGTCTGCAAATTCTGGACCTATTCGACGACATCTGCAAACATTACCGAGAAGGTTAGCATAGCGATAGCGTTGTAGACTTTTAGTCTGGAGGTAAAAGATTTGAAACCGTTTATTTTTATAAATGCAGCAAGTGAGTCATGCGTCTTGTAAAAGAAAAAAATTACAGTGACGAGTTCACTAGCCCCAGTTGAGACTTGTAAAAACTGCTGTTAATTGGCATGCTGAAATGCGTGTCCAAAAGATACTGTGTCTCCAGTTGCCATGCTGGTGCACTGCCCCCCCACGCGCCGTTCCTACTCTTGCTTACGTCTAAGCCACTGGATTAATGCATTTCTGTTTCTCTGCTTCTAAGAATACGTAGCGATATTGACGATTTGTGTATGTCCTTGTGTTGAAACGACAGAAATGTGCTTTCCGAAAGAAAACAAGAGTGCACATACGCCCGTGTTTGAAATTTACTCTATCTCCTTTTCAAATAATATCTTTGCAACTTTAGGCATGCCTAAATTATTGGTTTTCGTGTTTACTTGGCTCATATACTAATCTGCAAATTGCAAATTTGTTTAGCAGTTTAATGGGAGATCATGTCTGGCCGTCCGTGTGCATATTTTATCTCCAAAGCGACGGAATTTAAATTCTCTACTGAAGCGTCCATACTGAAGTTTGTAAGGCAAATTTAATTTTAGTGAATATTGATATATTTCACACAAATCGTAAATATAATATGGAGAAATGAGATTTTGGTAGCTGCTGGCAGTGGCGTCGGCATTATGTCGTGCGAGAGAAAGGTCATAGGGCCCAGGCAATCTGACGTCACTGGCGCCATTCGGAAAGGGCAAAGGCCACCAGAGTTGTTTCGCTATGCGAACATTTCCTAACTTCTTTTATATGTCTGCAGAATCTACTTGTAATCTGATGACGTGACGGAGATAAATGTGTGTTACCGGTCCAAGTCTCTGTTGCTGGGGAACAGATGTTACTTCTATTAGCCAGAAGGGAAAAAAAAGATCTTAATACCAGTCATCATATGGTCTAGACGGATATGACGTCACTACAGAACTATCAGAACTAATTGGAATAGAACGATGCAGTATGTTAAAAATTGTGATTCTTCATGCGTGTATTGAAGCAATTTTAGAGGAAGGTGGAAGCTGTCCGTACACCTCCACTAACGATGTAAGGTTCTGCACGTGCGAAATGGCCGGAAATTGGTACCTACATCCTGGCCGTAATTGCGAACGACCAGCATTGCCGTTCTAAGCCGGAAATCATTTGTGGCAACACTCGGTTTCTGTAAAGTCCTCCCTGGGGACAGTGCGACGCCTTGAAAGAAAACAAAGGTGTATTTTTTTTAGGTGCCTGATTTTTTTTCGTTCCTTGTTTGTTGATTTTGGTTTGTTTCCCTTTTCTCTTGTTCGTGTCTTTCTTCTTCCTTCTTTCCTCTTTCTGTCTTACCTGTCTCCCTTTCCTTACTTTCCTTTTCCTTTGTTTTCGACGTCTGTTCTCTGTCACTCCTCCTGCCCTGCTTCCGTTTCCGCCCCGTCTTCTTCCCATCATCTCCTGCGTTTTCCTCAACGCGTCACAGCGTCACCGCCTCTCGACGCTGTTACGCGCTGCTCTGTTCATGCCCTCGTGTGTACACAAGCGTTCAATTTCTGAGAAAGACGGACCGCAGTTGATTCAAATACGGATGCAGCGGCTCAAATATGGTTATGGTGGCAGGAGAGGAGCAGTGGCTTATGCGCAGACACGTTCAGGGCACAAGGTGACTGACTCAACTACCAACTCTGCGCAGTGCAGTTTTATGGTGTGTATTTATACCAGGTCATTGAGGAAGCTCCGGGTACGCGATGTGCTTCGATTAATGGACGGATCGCTAACAGGAAGGAACTACGGACTTCATAGCAAATAAACCGGAGTTCGAAACGTCGCCTGCGAATTCCGAAGATCCAGTCGTATCAGAATCCTGAAGATGGAGACAGTTGGTTCCCGAAACGTCGGTTTACTACGGTAACCAGTTAACGCAGCTGATTTTGCCCGAGAAGATTTTATTGATTGTATTCGCCGCGAAAGTCTCAAATCCTAAATTTCAAAAATGCTTATATTTGTGTTAATTTTTGCATTTTGTGTCTCGGTTCAGCCCTTCGAATCGGTGCTTTGAGCATTGTTATTTCACTTCCTGTCACGTGCTGCAACCAGCAGCCATTATATTCCGTGCTGAAGGCGTGTTGTTTAGTAAATATACGAGCTGTAACTTGTCACTGCAAAGGTTCTCTTTCTACAGTAATAAAACGGGCTTGTAAAGAGGAACTAATGCGTGCTGTACGCCCGCTGTAGTGCAGGACTGTTGTAAGGTGCTTATAACATTGTGACGAAAAGAAACAGGTTTTTATTGGCCTAAATGAGCTTCTGAGCTTTCTTCGAAGTGTACAAAATTGTTGAAGATTTCTGACTTCTGGGTTGCTGCGCTGTGTAGTCTGGTCGATGTTTACCAACGTTTCAGAGGTCATTCATCGCCATGATGACGGAGGCAGTATGACCTCTGAAACGTTGGTTAACATCGACCAGACTACACAGCGCAACAACCCAGAAGACAGAAATCTTCATCGCCCTGTTGACGGAGGCAGTATGACCTCTGAAACGTTGGTTAACATCGACCAGACTACACAGCGCTGCAATCCAGAAGACGGAAACCTTAATACTCACCGCTGTGAAAACCTCAAATCATACAAAATTGTTCATAATACGAATATAACTCCCCTCTGCAGAAGACTATTCAGAGTTGAACGCCTGCACTATCTCCTGTGGAAGGAGACCCCTGGGCCGCAGATTGAGTTCAGGAGACAACAAAGATAAATTTCTTGAAGATGAAAGCAGAATCTATCTTTCGAAACATTGCATGATTTAATCGACGCTTCAGTATCTTAAAATGACTCCTCAGTTGTAACACAGTGTGGACTTACAAGTAGATACCAACGTTTAGGAGGAACATACTGCCCCAATTTTCAGTGTCGCATCCCAGAAGATCAATGCTTACAACGAAAATATTCGCAGCGGGCTCTTACTTCACGATTCAGGCGACTTGTTTCACTGTTGCGCAGAGGCTGAGACGCCGCCCGCTCTAATATCGTGACCCCTAGGAGAGGCAGCATCACAAAGCCCTCTGTTGCTTCCGAACAAGTGGCTCGTCGGTACCGATTTATGTACATCAGGGTGGTGTCCTTCTTGCCACAGGCGAAGAATAGTTTTCTCGTTGGACCTAAGGGCCAAGAAATCGTTCCAGTCACTGTTTTTTTGAAAATTAATAGCCACAAGCTCCACGCAGCAAACTTGTGCATGTCTCCGGTTTTAGTTGGAGTTGACTTTGCTTCAGCCTCGTGTTCCTGCAACCTACCGTTAGACACATTCTGATGCGTTCAGTAACCCAATCAGCATCTTAACTGAATAACACTAATTATTTTCGAGGAACATTTCGGAGCACAAACACCAACTCGAAACACTTTGTTCCGGTGGTTAACGTTTTTTGTTCAGGAACAGGAATGTGGTCACCACGAACGACAAATCGGCAGCGCCGTGCTAACCTAATCTTTCACTGCTGAAGGCCTTATTAAGTTCAGGTTTATTCTGCTTATAAATCACAAATTATAATCCTCCCTAATAACCGCTTACTGTGACGAGATAAACATCGTATAACACCGCGCAAAATACACACGAAAACATGACCTGTACCAACGTGCCTCGCATTTCTTCACAAACTTAACAGAAAAAAAATTACCACAACTGCTCCATCGTAACATTAACTGGCCAGAATCTTCACGTCTCTGCTAGGTACGAAGTACTGCCGCTGGAATATAACTTTTGTAGTGGTCAGATTTGCTAACTGACCCCCTCTTCTGATCTCCCTCTTTCTTATTTCGGACGGATCTCGAACCTCGGACCTCGTCCTGACTACCGATCGAACAGTCCAAAACACGACACGTCTATTTACTTTATTTAGTTGTCAGCGCAGGTTTTGTGGTTTATCTCCGTTTTTCAGCTTGTTATTGTTCCTGTGGTTAGTGGTAGGAAGGAGGAGGTACAATTATTTATGCATTTCATGAAGATTTCTGTCTTCTGGGGTGTTGCGCTGTGTAGTCTGCTCGATGTTTACCAACGTTTCAGAGGTCATACTGCCTCCGTCATCAGGGCGATGAAGATTTCTGTCTTCTGGGGTGTTGCGCTGTGTAGTCTGCTCGATGTTTACCAACGTTTCAGAGGTCATACTGCCTCCGTCATCAGGGCGATGAAGATTTCTGTCTTCTGGGGTGTTGCGCTGTGTAGTCTGCTCGATGTTTACCAACGTTTCAGAGGTCATACTGCCTCCGTCATCAGGGCGATGAAGATTTCTGTCTTCTGGGGTGTTGCGCTGTGTAGTCTGCTCGATGTTTACCAACGTTTCAGAGGTCATACTGCCTCCGTCATCAGGGCGATGAAGATTTCTGTCTTCTGGGGTGTTGCGCTGTGTAGTCTGCTCGATGTTTACCAACGTTTCAGAGGTCATACTGCCTCCGTCATCAGGGCGATGAAGATTTCTGTCTTCTGGGGTGTTGCGCTGTGTAGTCTGCTCGATGTTTACCAACGTTTCAGAGGTCATAATGCCACCGTCATCAGGGCGACAACCCAGAAGACAGAAATCTTCATACTCACGGCTGTGAAAACCTCAAATCTTACATACGTATTTCATGTTTCAGCACCGCTATCTAATGGATTTCGGCTACCTGCCTCAGTCTGACTTGGAAACTGGCAACCTGAGAACCGACGACCAACTCCGAGATGCCATCAGAACTTTGCAGGTCAGTGGTCCTCGATCGTCAATTCTTATAACACGGCTCAGGGAAAAATGAACTGCATTTAGCAAGTGTACGTTATTTTATAACGGGAGTATTTACGATTAGAGTTTAAGTGATAGTCCTCTGGTGTTGAAGTGGGCTGTACACATAACACGCGTTATAATTATGAAAATATCAAGGGAAGGGACCACTTTTATTATCGCATGAGGCTGCTTCCAGTGAAATTTCCCCACAAAGTTCGTGCACTTCTTGTTTCCCCAAGCAAGCTAGATGTGTAGGCCATCTCACCGTAAGAACATTAGGAAAAGCACAAAGTAGATGTCTTCTTTCCCCTTTAATTATCTCCTTATTTACGTTACTTCATTTAAAACATTCAAATGTCGTCAATTTTTTTCCTTGCACAGAGTCAATGTTCATTATTCTCTTTGAGTCAGAGACCATGTCTCACACCCACGCAACAAAGAGGTTATATAATAGTTACATATTTTTAATTTTAAGGACTTCAAACTTTGGTTATAATATAAATAATTCTCACGCGTTAGAAATGCTTGTGTCTACAGCTCTGTAATTATAATACGCCACTCTTACGCCTGAGTAGTCTGCAGCCAAACATACGTACGGCGTCATGTTGGTTGCCTCTGCTAAGGCGAAGGCTGTATAAATTTATTCGTATCGGGTTACGCCGAAGTGATGATTTGTGAAATCAGCGGTTGTTGAATTGATGTAATGTAGTTTAAGAAGTATGTTTGTAGGTTATTTGTTAAACAAGACTGTAACAGTGTACTCGGAGGCAGTACTTTTTTCCAAAAGCGTTCATTGTAACTTTTAACATCTCATTGATCTCTGTACAAATTGCAGTAATAAGGCTAGCTGCACATAGTCAAAGTTCTTTCTTCCTTGAATATTTTCCGCGTCG